GAATGAGGCACTGGTCTCCTGGCCAGGATGATAAAAGTATAATGGAGACCCATAATCTCACCCCACCCAGCAGTAATGAGGCACCTCCATCTATCCCAGATATCAGGAAGAATAACTAGAGAAACTGAACTTCTACTCCCACCTGTTAGTAACAAGATGACATCTGTCCTTTCTATGCCAGAGAAATGTCAAAACAACCCAACCAAAACAGAAGGCTTAAATAAGACCTAGAGTTTCATAACATAATATCCAAAATGTCCAGTTTTAACTTAAAAAAAATCATGTCATACCAAGAAATAGGAAATTCTCAATTTGAATTTAAAAAGACAATAGATACCAACACCAAGATGATACAGATGTTATAATTCACTGATAAATATTTAAAAGAAGTTATCATAGAAATACAATAAGCTAGTATGAATGAAATGAAATAAAAATATAGAAAGTCTGAGTAAAGAAACAGGAGATAGAAAAGAACCAAATGCAAATTTTACTACTAAAAATACAATAAAGAAAAAATTTAAAACTATGTTATACATAAGTATATTCTCAACAGCAGAATGGAGGGGACAGAAGAGTCAATGAATTCAAAGATGAAACAATATCAATTATCCAACTGGAACAACAAACAGAAAATAGATGTAAAAAAAAAAAGAAAAAAATACCAGAGACTCGGAGACCTTTGGGAAAAAATAAAAGATTTAATATTACTAGGTTCCCAGAGGGAAAGGGAAATAGAATGGAACTGAAAAGTAGTAAAAGAAATAATGTCTAAAACCTCCCCAAATTTGGCAAAAGATAAAAATATTCAAGATGCTGAGAAAAACCGAACAATGAATGAAATAAAACCAAGACAGAGCATAGCCAAACATCAGAAAACTTAAAAAAAAAAAAAAATCTTGAAAGCAGCAAGAGAGCAATAATATCTTTACTAAAGGAAAAAAATTCCGATGATAACAGATTTCTCATCAGAAACAGGAGGCCAGAAGAAAGTAGAACACTATTCAAGTGTTTAAAGAACTCTCAAACAAAACCTCATAGACACAGACAACAGTTTAGTGGTTACCAGAGGGAATGAGGAAGAAATGGGGAGGTAGATAAAGGTAAAAGGGGTCAAATATATGGTGATGGAAGAAGATTTAACTTTGCGTGGTGAACACAATATAAGATACATATGATGTATTACTGAAGTATATACTTGAAACCTATGTAATTTTATTAACCAATGTTACCCCAATAAATTTAGTAAAAAAAAACACCTCAGAATTCTGTATCTACCAAAAATATCCCTCAGGAATAAATGAAAAATTATGACATTACATTAAGTGGAGGAAAACTAAAAAATTGTCACTGAAAGACCAATCTGTCTCTCTATACAAAAGTGTAGGGTCAAATCTACTCAAACAACTGAAACAAACAAAAAAATCAGGATGACAATATTTGAATAGGTAATATTTTTAGTGGTAAAGAAACAGGAGTATAACAACTCTTGGCCTATCTTTAAATTTAATTACCTGAAATTTCTGCTACATTATTTGTTTTAAAATTTAAATAAAATAACCAAAATTATATCTAATCTAAAGAAAGAAGTCCTATCTAGTTTTAGCGAATATCTAAAATAGAAACGTGCATCTCAAAAAATACTGGATACAATAAAAATTTCCATTGATGCTGAATCTTAAAATACTGTAGACATAATATTCATGAATACTACTGAGAATAGTGAATGTTAATAATTTAAATAATGTAGTGTGCATATGAAAAGAAAAAGAAAAAGCTTCAGATAGAAAAGAATGTACAGCTGTCATCCTTTTTTCTTACTATATCTACAAAATAGGTTGATTTAATTAAGCACTGCCAATATAGAGATGATTCTTTATGAACTATTACCATTCGACAAAATGAAATGAACACTATCCTGAGCCCTCAGAAATGACTGCCTGTCTCTATTATTCACCTACTTCAGTTTGAATAGCACTTGCTAATCTGCATAAATTTACTTCTCAGAGGTTTTTCTTTCATGAACACCAAATTTTGCTGTGATGGCCATTCCCATTCACTGCAAATAGTGTGATTGTTTTCCAAATAATAAACAAATATCAGAATATTTTACAAATTACAAGGACAATAAAATACAAATTTTACTTAATCCCAAGGTATATTATCAGTTAAGTGGATGTGTTTTATGTTCCAGGCCTGGTTGAATCCAACATTAGAAACATCAAAATTTGGTACAATTTGATACAAAAAAAAAATCTAATAACTTTTCCCATATCTATCTGCATAACTTTCTCTTTCTGATTATTAATATTTCATTCTAAAATGGAGAATCTAAATTTTGATCAAATTACCATCTTAAACATTAGCCTTGGATATGTAGTAGTGTTCAACAGTACCAACATTTTTATATATCTAAAACTTTTGTCTCAGTATTTTTTATGTAAAAAAAAATTAAGCAAAAGGGTGAAAGTATAGGCTGTAACTGACACGATTAAAAGGTTAAAAATATGTTTACTATCTACTTGGCTCAAATTTTAGGTCAAGGTTTTCAGCACTCTGGCCTAGGAAAAAGAATACATCATTACTGAAGTGCTGGTTTACAGGGAAGAGAACAAATGGTTAGGAATTCCCCATTAGTAAATGACTAAATCTATATTAATTATGAATTTTCTATGAAAATAAACTATTATAAAAGCAAGCATAAATATTGAATTATTTCTAGCTACTAAGATTATTTTAAAAAGTCTTTCAAAAGTTAATCTAGTCTACGGCCATGCCACCCTGAACAAGCCCGATTCCATCTGATCTTGGAAGTTAAGCAGTGTCGGGCCTGGTTAGTACTTGAATGGGAGACTACCTAGGGGGACCAGGTGCTGTAGGTATAAAAAATTTTTAAAAATAAGGATCATAAGCTGACAAGGGCCTTGCAATCTGTGAGGTCAACCAAGGGTTGCCTCGCCTAAAAAAAAAATTAATCTAAAACTTGCTCAGGAAATTGTTTTCTTGTACATTAAAAAATTGGGTTAACTCATACATCCTTACCGTTCTCGGTTAAATTTAAGAGAATGAAGAATAGCTGGCCTTTTTTGTCTAAGGTTCCATAAATGAAGTGTATCATCTGAACTTGCACTGACCAAAGCACCCTAGAACAAAAAGAAGATAAATTAAGCAAGTGATTTACTTAATTTAGGGGTTTTTGGGAAACAAAAACAAGATCATTTACTGAATTGTTCATTGTTTAAAGAGCTATTTGTATCTATATAACCTAGAAATACAAGGAAGGTCAACTGCACAAACTTCAAAGAATGCTAAGAACGCTGGAGTGGAAGAAGCAAGTAAACTATAGCACAAGATGACTATCTCAAGAAATATACACATACCGATTAGAGAAATAATTACTATTAGTATCATTGTGACTCTTAAGAATTTTTTTGCATTTTCTTTGGGAAAAACTTAGTTTAATCCTCTTGTTTCTACTATTCATACATATACTACATAGCTTTACAGAGAAACAAATATCCAACCCAGTTTTAAAATTCAATCTGGTCATATAAAAATTCTCTATTTGTAAGAATCTTCTATATACTGTGGTTGGAAATTATATATTCTTCCTAAATAGTATATTTAGTATAATTAAATGTTTTACAGTTCAAAAATCTTCGTCTATAATAAAGAAAACATATATAACAAAAGAAAACATTTCTCCAACTAGAATTCAGTATAACTTCAAAAATAATACTAAGATTTGTTTTATAAGACCTCCAAATACAAATGAATCCTATTTCAAATACAATACGATATTCTCTATTAATATGGCAGACACCAGATAACTAGCTGCCATATATATACAAAGTCATACGTGGCAGCCATTTATATATATATAAACACACATATATATACACACACACACACATATATATATATATATACACACACACACATATATATATATATACATATACATATATGTATATATATATACACACACACATACACATGCACACACACAAACTATTTATTTTACTGATTTCAGTAATATCATCTTAAACTATGTCAGAACTTTTACCATTATGAGTTTCCCAGATAAAAATGTCAATTCTTGCCCTATGATAGATCCTGAAGCTACTCTAGAATATTTAATGTGTTCTATAAAAGTGACCTTGCAGAATCATGGTGGTCCTGAGATACCAAAAATTCTTACTTTCCAAAGTGCTCTGTCACAGGTAACCTTTCATAGTTTATAACATCAATCACAGATATAAAAATGATTATCCCATTTAGAGACTAGGAAAAACTCTATTGAAATTTTTAGAATTTATTTCTTCTTCAGGAATTAGAGAGAAGAAGATAGGAATCTAAATGCTCTTCCATAACAATTCCTAAGACAAAAATGTTCATGTATCCTACAATGGTTCTCTTTATATTCTGTACCTGTGAATTTAGTCTCAAAGAAAAATAGTTTTTAAAAAGGCTATTATAATCAGACTGTATCCATTTTAAAATGTTTTAAAATTTTGTATAATTTGCACATTTGTATATACATATATAAACACACATGTTCAAAGAGGTATACACTGATATATACACTTGAATATGAATTCACAGATAATTACATTCCATGCAATAAAATATGCCCTATACATGCCTTGAGAATTTTTGTTTGTTTCCTTATTTTATTTGTAACCTATTCCCAAATGTTTCATGTATACAAACTGGAAAATTATTAGGATTGCTTAGAAGTGCTTGATAAGCTACAATATTTTTTGACATAAAGGATTCTGATCTTATTTCTTGGGAAAGTGAAATCATTTTGGATAAGGTGAGTATAAAATGTGATACTGAAATTAATAAAACCTTCTCCATGTTAAATAGTTATATGTTATGCAAAAGATACAATATGCCACAGACAATGGAATTAAAATAAAGCAACATATGTCAATAATATTTTAGTATAATAGTTGAATAAATCTAAGAAGGAAGTCAATATTTATTCTACAAAACTAGGAGGTAACGTCATTGGAGGGAAGTAAACAGGACTACTGAGCATAACAGCACCAACAAAGATATAAGACACATCAGCAGGGTGTCTAGGGCTCATTTACAAAAGCAAAGTGACTCTACAAGAAGCAATACAGAAGATCTATGAAAAGATTAAAAACTATGAATGAAAATACCAATCATGAGGTTAGAAACTGAGATGTTTGGGAAAATGTACAGAACCTGAGTGTGAGGTAGATCAAGGTGAGTAGTTTAGGATAAACAATGTAAACAATGGAAAAATGTTAAAGGTTTGTCTTTATACATTCTTAGTTACATAGCACAGAGTCAAATTTGGGGCCTAAAGACAATTCTCAGAGGATTGGACCCAGTGGAAATACTGGAGAACAATTTATGCCTGCCAATACATATCCAACAGACTGAGATCTTGCATCTAGGAGCTGCAGAGTAACACAGACTTCAGAAAGGTTGTCATTCTAGATACTAATGACTAGCTATTACAAAAAAATTTTTTTTTAATGTTTTCTCTTTTCTTCCTTATTTCTCTCTCTCATTTGGGTACCCCAAGATAGACTGCGCACAAGGTTTGTCAGTAAGGAAAATCTCACAGCCTTCTAAGAAAGATTTTGAATCAAGAGAAGTTAAAAATAGACATCTGACAATACCACAAATTTTTCATGCTTCAGATATCTCTGATACAAAGTTACATGAACCATTTTACCCATGCTTATGATTATAAATTCTTAGAAAGAGATATATACACAAATATATGGAGACATTGAATTTAAAAAATCATTGTTTATGCCATAAGAGAACAATGAGTAGTACCTCATTTTTTTCTCAAGCTATTGAGTTCAATCTGCAAAGTGCCTTAGGAGATTTTGTATAGCAAAAACTCTTTAAAGAATGTTTGCACTACCTGGCTCATTTAACATAAAAGAGCTCAAGAAGACTCAAGGGTCCACTATAAAACTGTGAGTCAAGAAGTTGTTAGGTAGCCTTCAACTAACGGAAGATCTTCAAACTTTCTTAGCTTTGTAAATACATACTTTTTCTTTAGGGAGTTTCTCAACACCATAAGTCTATAAAAATAGGGATAGGGTAGGCAGCCTATTGTCATAATAGCTATGGATACATAAATAAACACAAATGCATATATATATATACCAACAAATGCATATGGAGATATATATAGATAAAAGAACCATAGGTAAATAAGTGAAAAGATTATTTCATGGAAGATAAAGACAAAATATAAAATTAGTGCTGAACTACAAAGTTTAAGTTGGTGGGAGGAGAATGTATAGAAGAAAAGTTTAATGGTCAGTAAAGCAATCAAAGAATTTTAGTAATTTTTAAAAAAACATTTAAATAATCTATAAATTATGCCACATCATCACAACAAGATCTTCTAATGTAATAAGCTCTTTCTTTTAAAATTTAATAAATTGACAAATATAATACAGTTTTATGAAAATATGACCATGAATAATATTGCATACATATGTATCTTCAAGCATTTAGAATCATAATATAAAAAAGATTAATAAAAAAGATTATATAACGAATGCAGTGTGCGCGTGTGTGAAATAATCAAGAAAATCCTTACCTCATTGATCAGGAATTGGAGCTGCAGGACAGCTGCACCACTTTCATGTTGGCAATAACAATCAACGCCAGGTCTCCCAAGTCTAACATAAATAAAAGTTAAGGATTCTAATATTTTAATTAGCACTAATATTAATGAGTAAAGGAGAAACTAACTTAATAACTGATGTTTTGCTTTTTAGTTAACCTAATTTTCATAAATAATTAAAAAATCTTAGTCTTTCTTGATGCAAATTACATTATATACCACAGGACCTCAGCAAAATCGTCAAATAAAACATTCATCGCACATGTCCTCCCTCAATAATTTGGCATCCATACACAGACAAAAGTACCTTGATGGGAGCTTCCAGATCCAAGTAGGAGATTGTGAAACTCTGGTGCAGTACAAGAATGAAGAAAGCCATTTTGAGAAGGCAGGCTCACATCCAGGTGGCTGACTCACTGACTGTGGTCTTGGCTACAGAAATGGAAATAACTCTGTACCCCTAAGACCTCAGCGATAGCCTTGCCTGTCTGGCTTTACGTTTATAACCAGGAAATGCCATACACCAAGGGACCCAGAGGAGTCACGCCCACCCATGCATCAGGTAATAGGCATTCAGACATTGGTCCTAGCTGTGGATCTAGAAGACACTTTCGATTCAGCTTCCGCCCCTCTTGGCTGAGTGCAGGGGCCTGTGAAGGTAAGCTTGCCAAATTCAATCAGTCTGTAGATTCTGAAATGGCCCTGTAACAGACCTCCAGACCATCCCAGCCCCACTGACATATGGACCCTTTAGAAGACACTTTTGTCTGCACCCCCAAAGATCTTGAAAGGAACCAACCTCCTCCTTCAGTCTTTGCTAAGCTGCTATGCTGAGCAGGCCTGCTGGCATAGGTAGCAAACAGGATAATTTCCATCTGTGCTCCCAGAGGTCCTGAAAGGGCCCTGTGCATGGCTCCAGCTTCCCTACAGCCACAGTCTGCTAGAAGTCTTAAGGGTCCAGGGTCCCAGTTGGAGACATTCTCATCTGGGATCCTGAAAGGGCCCTATACTTTATTACAGACCCCTTTCAGCCACAGTCCATTAGCAGGAATACTGGCATGGGGACTAAGCAGGAAATACTCCCATTTGTGTCCACAGATAACTTAAAGCAGCCCTTTACACAGCCCTAGCCCCCTCACAACCATAGTCAGCAAGTAGTTCTGAGGTTCCAGGATCCTGATGAGAAACACTCCTGTCTATAACCCCGGAGACTCTAAGAGGGCCCTACCTCCTAGTTATAAACCATAAGCAGTCTAACCAGCACAGGGACCTGGCAAGAGACATGATCACACCACAGGAGGTCCTGAAAGGGCCCTATATGCCACTCCAGCCCCTCTAGCCATGGTTAGGGACCAATCCAGCTCATCCAGTGATCTGAAGGGAAACATTCCTGTCCATGCCTGCAGAGCCAGGTCTGTGAACCTCAGTTTTGGCTATGGAATCTGAAATAGTCCTGACAGTCACAGTTCAGGGTCAGTCCTGCCCACCAGGGATCCACCAGGGACCCACCCGGTGACCAGGCAGCGGACTTCTGGAGGAACTTACACCCACAGTATACCTGGCAATAGGCCCACTGTTTGAGGATCCTTGCCCAAGTGCCACCCCACAGAACAAGGTACTAGAGGCAGTTGTATCCATCCAGGGACCAAAACGGATCCACACCAGCTTTAGCCCTGGTAACAAATCCACTAACCACAGACCCCATTGCAGACCCAGTGAAAGCCTCATAAGTAGCTCCAACCCAGCACAACTGCAATTTCAGAGGTAATTCTGTCAACTCAGAGAACAGACATAGAAGGTCTTTGACTTCTAAAACCAGTCTATAAAGACTAGAAATGTTTGCTGTCACAAATACAAAGACACCAATGCAAGACTACAAAGTTCATGAAGAATCAGGCAAATTTGATACCACCAATGGAAACTAATATAGCTCCAGTAACTGACTCCAAAAAAATGGAGATCTATGATTTGGCTGACAAAGAATTCAAAATTATCAGCTAAAGAAACTGAATGAAATGCAAGAGAAAACAGATAAACAAAATCATGAAAACAATTCATGAACAAAATGTATTTAATAAAGAAATAGTGACCATAAAAAAGAATCAAACAGAAATCCTAAAACTGAACGATACAATGACAGAATGGAAAAATTCAACAGAGAGTTTCAACAAGTGCCCTAATCATGCAGAAGAAAGATTTGGCAAACTTGAAGACAAATTATTTGAAATTAGCCAGTTAGAGGAAGAAAAAGAAAAAAGAAATGAAAAAGAATAAAGAAAGCCTAACTGAATTATGAGACACCATCAAGCAAACAAACATTCACATCATGAGAGTCCCAGAAAAAAAGAGAAAGGGGAAGAAAAATTATTTAAAGATGTAATCATTAAAAAGTCTCAAATCTTGGGAGAGAAATAAACATCCAGGTACAGGAAGCCCAAAGGGACCTAAACAAGATGAACTCAAATATGACTATTATGAGACACATTATAATCAAAATGTTAAAGATCAAAGAAAAGAAGAGAACTTTGAAAACAATACGAGGAAAATAACTCATCACATACAAAGAAATCCTCATAAGCTTATCATTGGATTTCTCTGCAGGCCAGGACATAGTGGGGTGATATATTCAAAGTGATAAAAGAAAAAATCTGCCAAGTTAGAATACTATACCCAGTAAAACTGTCCTCCAAAAAAGTTTAAAGAGAGATAAAGACATCCTCAGAAAAAGAAAAGCTAAGGAGTTCATTACCGCTAGACCAGCCATTATAAAAATGATAAAGGGAGTTCTTCAAGTTGAAATGAAAGGACACTGTGTAAAAACATAAACATATAATAGTATAAAACTCATTGGTAAGAGTAAATATATTGTTAAATTCAGAATGTCCTAATCCTGTAATGGTGGTATATAAATTACTTGTATTTCTAGTATAAAAGCTAAAGATAATTTAAAAGCAACCATAGCTACGGTAATTTGTTAATGGATGCACAATATAAAAAATGTGAAGTGTGAAAACAATACCATAAAATGTAGGGGAAGGAGTAGAAAAAAGTGTTGAGTTTTGTGTGATTAAAAGTAGTCCTACCCACAGAAGCCAGACAAGAAAGAGAAATAAAAGGTATCCATATTGGAAAGTTAGAAGTAAAATTGTCATTATTTGCAGATGGTATGATACTATATAGAGAGAACCCTAAAGATTCCACAAAAAAATAAAAATAAATAAAGAAAACTGTTAGAACTGATCAATGAATTCAGTAAAGTAGCAGGATACAAAATTAATATTCAGAATTGCATTTTTATACACCAATGATGAACTTTCAGAAAGAGAAATTAATAAATAATCCCATTTACAATTGCATCAAAAACAATAAAACACTTAGGGATCAAATTAACCAAGGAGGTAAAGACTTATTCTCAGAAAATTGTAAGTTGTTAAAAAAGAAATGGAAGAAGATACAAATAAATGGAAGTATATACTGTTGCTCATGTGTAGGAAGAATCAACATCATTAAAATAGCTATACTATCCAAAGTAATCTATAAATTCAATGCAATCCCTATCAAAATACCAAAAGTTTTTCAGAGAACTAGAACAAATAATTCTAAAATTTATATGGAACCATAAAAGACTCCAAATAGCCATGGCAATCTTGAGAAAGAAGAACAAAGTAGATGGTCTCTTCAACAAATGGTGTTGGGAAAATTGGACAGATATATGCCACAAAAAAAAAAAGAGACTGGACCACCTTTTTATACCATATACAAGAATAGACTCAAAATGGATAAAAGACTTAAATGTAAGACCTAAAACTATAAAACTTCTTGAAGAAAACATAGGCAATAAACTCTCTGACATTGCTAGTAGTAATTATTTTTTAATATATCTCCTCAGGCAAGGGAAGCAAAAGAAAAAAATAAACAAATAGGACTACATCAAACTAAAAAGTTTTTGTACAGGAAAGGAAAGGAAACTATCAACAAAATGAAAAAACAATCTACAGAATGGGAGAAAATATTCACCTATGATACATCTGATAAGCGGTTAATATCCACATTTTATAAAAAACTCATACAAGTCAACACAAAAAAAACATGGGCAGAAGACCTGAATAGATATTTCTCCGAAGAGGAAATAAAGATGGCCGATAGACATATGAAAAGATGCCAAGATCACTAATCATCAGAGAGCTGCAAATTAAAACCACAGTGAGATATCACCTCATCCCTGTCAGAATGGCTATCATCAATAAATCAAAAACAATAAGTTTTGGTGAGGATGTGGAGAAAAGTGATCCCTTGTACACTGTTGCTGGGATTGCAAATTGGTACAATCACTATGGAAAACAGTCTGGAGTTTCCTCAAAAAAATAAAAATAGAACTACTTTTTGATCCAGTAATTGTACTTCTGGGTATTTATCCAAAGAAAACCAAACACTAACTCATAAAGATCTAGGCACCCCTATATTCATGACAGTGGCTATTCACAATAGCCAAGATATGGAAGCAACCTACATGGCCAGCAACAGACAACTGAATAAACAAGTTATGGTTTATATATACAATGGAATATTACTCAGCCATAAAACGAATGAAATCCTGCCATTTTCAACAACATGGATGGACCTAGAGGTTATCATGCCGCATGAAATAAGCCAGAGAAAGATAAATACCACATGATTTCACTTATATGCAGAATTAGGAACAAAAGGAACAAACTAAATGAAGAGACAGATACAGAGAACAATCTGGTGACTGCCAGAGGAGAGAGGGGTCGGGGAACTGGGAGAAAAGGTGAAAGGATGAAGACATACAAATTAGTAGGTATAAAACAGTCATGGAAATGTAGAGGACGGCATAGGGAATATAGGCAGTAGTACTATAACAGCTACATGTAGAACCAGATTAGTGATAAAGTATTCAGGGGGATCACTTTATAAACTATATAAATGTCTAACCAATGTACTGTATACCTGAAATTAATTTTAAAAAATGAGTTGTTAGTGTCTTAAAATAGACTTATACCTATAAGATGTTTTATATAATCCTCATGGTAACAA